TATAAATAGTTCTGTGAGTTCAGAATATCTAAAGCCGAGATAGTTTTCCATAGCGGTTAACATGGGCTCAATGACTTGAACTTTTACTTTTTCAAATTAACTTATTATCTTTCTTTACTTATACCTGAACTATTAAAACTTTAAAGATAACTTAATTAAATTAAGTTTATGCCTAAATATTATAAAACTTATACATAAATCTACTTACATATTATAACCACTTTACTTAAATTACTTAAAATTAAATTACTTGCAATTGAACTTATAATTCTAGCGGTTAGCAAGAGTTAAGTAAAAATTTTTATGGGATGTGTGTTTACGTGTGTGAATCCCTGTGTGGCGTGGTGCTCTGAGCGTATGCGTACTGTAGAGAAACAAAATAAAGTTTATGACTTACTGATGATGAATCGTGCAAACAGCAAATATACAGCACGATGTGTGGCGCTTGGAATCTATCGAATCTGTGAGCTTGCCGAGCAAGTCGTTATAGCAGAGAATGGTCGATGAGGCCCAGGAGTGTACCAGACGAGGTCGAGTCCCAGTAACCTTGAAGAGTCCGTCGGGAAGACTGAGAGCCATCGTCCAGGTGAAGGAAAAACTAAGACCACGAAGAATGGTAGGGAGCTTTATAAAAGGTGTAAGAATGGCCCTAAAAGAGGATGTGGTAGTTTTTTGGGGGACTGAAAATGTGAAAATGGTTAAGGTGAAGGGATATGTGAAAAGGGAAAATGGAAATAAAGGTTTTTAAGGGGGTTAAAAAAAGGGATTGAAAGGAAAAATAACAAAAGTGAAACGGTTGGGAATGCAAGCGCATTCCAAAATACGAGTAAAACAGGATAACGGGAACGAATATATAATTAGGTTTTTACATGTGTAAGAAAACGGATGAAAACGCAGAAAATTGTAAACACGCAGGAATGCAAATGGCATTCTGGCTCATAGGGTAAAAAGGAGAAAAGAAAAAAAAACATTATATAATTTTTTAATGAGAACAGCATACTTTACATTTACTTATAAGCTTATAATCCGAGCTCATTAAATTCTTGCTGTTTTTTTTTAATTTTACGGTTGTGTTTGTGTTTCAGCTGTACTGAATACATTTGGGAAGTAGAGAAATTTTTGTTCGGTACAACGGCACCAGAACACGGTGGTGGCCATAGCTGGATGTCGCCAGGTCCCGGAAATACATATCAAAGTCCGGCAAACAACGCCAAATCAATCGATGATATTTTGCCAAGCGGCAGCAGCAGCTGTGATATTCTCAGCACTCATATTGCTGCCCGAATTTTCCACCTACTAATCACAATGACAGACAGGTAATTATTCGTTTTTAAGGGGAATAAGTGGAAATTGGAAATATAATAAACAATTAACGACTGAGCGGATTAAATTTCAGGAATCATAGTGAATTTAGCAAATAATTAGTGATATTTAGTGGATATTTAAAGGAATTCAATGAACAATTAAAAGGATTTAGTAAATAATTAGAGGAATTGAATGGGGATTCAGAATTTATGAACAAAATTGACTTTTTACGCGTTTTTTGCAGCAGTGCAATGCGAAAAACGCATATTGACGAGAGGTTGTCTCTGTGTCCGTGTGTCTGTATGTCTGTGTGTCTGTGCGTCTGTGTGTGCGTCTGTCACGCACTTTCATCTCAGGACTTATAAAAGCTGCGGGGCTGAAATTTGGAGAACTTAATCTACATGCACGTACCGCCCCCAATCCACAAAATGGGCGCCAAAACCCGCGTGGTACCCGCGTACGGGCCCGCCAAAGTTTTTTAGGGGTCAGTTCATAACTCGAGGATCTGAAAAGCTAGAAGGCTAAAATCTTGGGGTAATGTTCTCCGTCCAAGCAGGTGCTAATGAGCTCAAATCCAGCCTACGGGTAAGCGTGGTACCCACGTACGGGCCCCCCAAAGTTTTTCCCGTGTAAATTCATAACTCGAGGATCTGAGAAGCTAGAAGGTTGAAATCTTGAAGTAGTGTTCCCCGCCCAAGCGGGTATTAGTGGGCTCAAACCCTGCCTTCGGGTAAGCGTGGTACCCGCGTACGAGCCC